AAAAAAAAAAAAATATTAACTCCAATCAGGTTCAGTCAGTTCATCTGGACAGTTTATTTTCTTGTTGAGATGTTTCGTCCTTCATCCAAAGGACTTCATCAGTCCGAGGAGCCACAATAAACTCAGTCCCACAAGCAGCACACTCACATAGACCAACCAGTTTGATGGTGATAAGATGGATCCTGGGGCCCATCCTCTCCCTCATTGTCTCCTCTGAGGCAGCCATAGCCAAAGTGGTTCAAAACATCAAAGTTCATGCTCAATAATCCAGGTAGAAAATCAAACAAAGGTCAGTCAGGTCATCTGGATGGTTTCTTTTTTGTTGAGACGTTTCATCCTTCATCCAAAGGACTTAAGTTTTGAACCACTTTAGCTATGGCTGCCTCAGAGGAGACGACGAGGGAGAGGGTGAGCCCCAGAAACCATCTTATCAAACGTGTTGGTCCACTATGCGAGTGTGCTGCTTGTGGGACTGTTTGTTGTGGCTCCTCAGACTGATGAAGTCCTTTGGATGAAGGACGAAACATCTCAACAAGAAAATAAACTGTCCAGATGAACTGACTGAACCTGATTGGAGTTAATATTTTTTTTTTTTTTATTCTGTGTATGAATGGTAAATAAGATCCAGGGGTGAGAACATTTTATAAAAAGCCATTTGGGGAAGAATAAAAAAAAGTCACACGAGTCACTTTTTGTTACAGTAGCTGTTTGAGACCATTTTAATTTGCTCCCCAAAAAGAAGGAAACAAAACCAGAACAGCAGCGTCTTGTATTCATGTTTTGGTAAAGATATTTGATGCGATCTGAGTTTCAGATCCTCATTACCCCTGCGAAGCGTCCTGCAATCCACTCAACGTGCTGAAAAAACCACAGCGATGACGTTTCATGAGAGACTGTGGCAATAAAATACAGAAACGTGACCTTGTTGTAACTGCGATGGCCTTTGTGTCACCTGCAGTATAAGCTGACGATATAACTGAAGATAAGACGCGGATTCAGAGAAAACGAGCATGATTTGCACGCTCTGTGTTTTACACATTCAAGTCTGCATGTTTTGTTCAGCTCATCCATCTTTATGAGGACGTCCTATATTATAAAACCTTTGCTTTTATCAGTGACTCACATTGTCAACGTTTAACAGGTTACCTTACAACTTTTCAACGTTGAACAAATGAGGGTTTTGATCACTTCTACGCATCTTTGCCTTTAGTGAAGTTAAAATCGTGCCAGTGACTAATTGTGTTTTTTTTACCTTTGAGCCCCACTGTGGCAACAATACAACTTTATTGATTTACAGAGTTATATAACACCAAAGGAGAGGTGATAATGTCTGTTTGCTTAAACCATGAATTCAAACACAGTTTAAACATAAAATATACTTTTTTTTCATACAATTAACGTTAAAAGTTACATTTAATTTTGTTTTCAAATCCATTACAGGACACAGAAACGGTGGTTGCTAAAGAAACACATAGAAATAATTTTCTACATCGTCCTCACTTAAGTAGAAAAGTTGAAAGAAGGAATTTAAATGTGAAAGAAGGAGTAGGAACATTTTAAAATTTCTAGAGGAATGGAAATATTTCAGCAGTTGTTTTGGCAGCTTTAAGGTTCAAACTATTACAAATATTAATGTAAAATGTCAAAAGCAGAAACCACAGTGAAGTATCCACATTACTTATTAAACCAGTGGTTGTAGTTTGATGGGCTTTATGTAACACTACAGTCAAGTCTCCTCCCATAACCTGTGACAAGAAAAATGGTTTGCATAAAAAAGTTCATACGTTCTGTAAATTCTCACAGAAGCAAATATTTAAGTCTTTTTTAAATATACTGATTTAGAGCAGGGGTGCCATACTCACTTACAAAAGGGGGCCAAAATTAAAACCTTTTTCAAACTAAGGGCCAATTTCAGAGTCTACATTAACTCAAATCAGATGCCCAGCATCTTTTCTTGGTCACAGGTTCCTCAACAAGAGTTTGATCGGTCTCATTTGATGCTCTCTGTTGTGCTTTCGACATCATAATCAAATATTTCTGAAGAAATTCAAGAGATAGGAGTATTTTACGTTTCACATATCGTCTTGGGGACCAGATAAGATGTTAACGAGGGCCACATTTGGCTCCCGGGCCTTGAGTTTGACACATATGACTTAGAGATTTTAATTTGGGTGGAAAAAGCTACAATATTCAAGAATCACTGATGTCGTTTAAACTCTTTCATTCAGACACAACCTCTGTGGTGGTTCTGGTGTCTTTATGTCTCAAACTTCTGTGTTGGTTATTGTGTTTTAATCCTTGTTTGGTTTTCTTAGTTCTTAGAGTTTTGGTTATGGCAAAGACGTCCTCATTTGGCTCAGTTTTGAATTCCACACCTGTCTTTCATTAGTAATCAGCACACCTGTGGCTAATCACTCTTCCCTCTGCTCTTTTCCTCTGAGGGTTCATCCATGATTCTTGAACGTTGGGTGTCCATTCCCACTCCTCGAGGACGACTAGCAAGTTTTCGAGGTCCCTCTGCTCCAACACACCTGATTTCAATCAATGGGTGATTAAAAATCTTCTGCAGAAGATAAAAAAATGATGTAATCATTGAATAATGTGTTGAAACAGGGACACCTCGAAAACATGCAGGGCGGTGGCCCTGGATGACTAGGATTGAACATCCCTGATTCACAAGTTGCTTTAGTGCCTCCTAGGACACCTCCACACCCCATCATTTGTAAATGTAAGACCATTATGTCCCCCCCCCCCCACACACACACACACACACACACACACACACATAACTCAAGGGGCCTTACAATATTTGCAGTTCATACAGTTTGTGTTTAACCTGACCTCTCCTCCCGTGAACTGATTATTAATTTATTAACCAGATTAGATCTAATGTCTTTCTACAACCTTCCCTTGTTTTGTGATTGCCATATCCTTGAATGTGCACTTGTTTGACAGTTTTAATGTAGATGATGGGATAAAAATTAAAAAGTTATACATGTTGCATCATCTGAACACTGTAGAAGGAGCTCGGGCTCTTGTCTTCCTTTAAATATATGTTTTGATCTTGTTGGAAAAATACAAACGTTAAATATTTTAGGGTGGCTTATATATATATATATATTTAAGTTTGGCATCTGGAGCTTGAGCCCCAGAAATGATCGATTATTTCCCATGAAGCCCGCTGGTAAAACATGGAGGCTCCACAGCTAAAAGAGGCAAAAACACGACAAATAAATACATATTTAAAAGCAGGAGTCGCGTCATTTCCAGCTGAGGCTTGTCCTGATGGAAAACGGAACTAGTGAGGAGGGCTGCACGGGAGGAAGAGGAGGAGAGAGGAGGTGCAGATCGTCTCTGGAAATCATCATCAGAGGGACCGAGAGAAGAAGGAGGGCGGCAGGAGGACGGCGCGGCTCCGCAGGTTTCATGATTTAATTCGTCTTAAATCACAAGAATTGTGCTCGACGATATTCTGGTTTTAGTTTGAACTCCGTTTGGGTCGATCACCTGTAAACCCACAGCTGTTTGGTCGGTTTGCTGCGTTTTTTGTGTGAAATAAACTCTGACTCTTCCTCCGGCAGGACAGGACACAGACATGGACAAGAACAACGAGATGATGTCCGTCGAACACCAGAATGGGAATTTAAGGTAAAGTCTTCTTCAAGCTCACCTTTTGGTTAACTTGTTCTCTAAATTTAGAACAGAGCAGGCTGATACACTTTTATTTATTTATTGCCAATAACTCACAAAATCAATGGATTGAAAATTATTTAATTCAATTTTCCCCCCAGTTGGCTCATTTATATGAGGTTAGAATGAAGAGTATACTTTATAAGCTGTTTCATATGTAGGCACTTTTCTTTCATTCAGTCAAGTTTTGCTCATTTAATTGGTCAAAAATGTCCATAAGCTTTGCTCTAAAACAACAAATACCTAATAACTAATACAGGGCTATTCAACTGGTGGCCCAGGGGCCAAATCAGGCCCATGGATGAACTCAGTTGGGCCCACCAGTGGGTTCGTTTTTAAATAAAACTAGATTTTAAACCATGAAAGAAACTTACTTAATGACAATAACTGCTGGATGTCCAGCCCCTGAGCTCTTGGCTTTCAGTAACTGTGGCCCCCTGAACAAATAGTTGAATAGCCCTGATCTATATGTTCTAAACACTAGAAAAAATGTCACTTATGAGTAGATGTTTTAATAGATTTCTCATTCTAAGTGTTTTGATGATCTCATGTTTCTCTAAAGGTGAAAATTATCTTGCGAGTCATGGTTTCATACAGTAAGCCAGTTTTTAGGACACATACAGTTTAAAGTTTCCAACCATTTTACATTAATTTTAACAGTCCTGGAAGGAAAATAAGCTTTTTGATGTCTTATGGACAAGTTTTTTCTACAATTTAAATGTGTGTCTATAGTAATGATTGGATGGAAAGTATGTAATATATTAACTTTTCTACAAATTTATTAATGTTGATCCTGAGTAGGAAGTGCCTGTGGATCTCTATAAATAAATAATGTGCTGTTGTTTGTCCCATAGGAAGAGTGACATTCGATAGCTCTAAAATGTTGACTGTGAATTGGAAAGTTTCATTTTGGATATCTGAAATGTTTTTCTTGACACAACTGAGTTATGAATAGCCGGGATAGGTCAAGGTCAATGTTTTCTTTATTGTCATTCACATCTCATGTGGTACATGTGGTGGAACGAAATAATTGTCCAATCTTACTGTAAAATTTCTAGTTATATTCAACTTATTTTTGTTAGCAGGAATTGTGGTAGCCTTAAATTTTTGTTTCTGCTAATATCACTGTATTTGTAGATTAAATTTTAGTTTGGGCTGGTAATGTTTTTGTGCCGTTATCTAAAATAAGAGTTAGAGGTGTGTTTTAAATAAATGCTGGTGTCTAAAGATGCTCAAAGTTTAAGCAACAATTCTAACATTTACATTCAGTTTTCAGACAGATTCACAATTCTTCCTCGTTAAAAAAAACTATTTCACATGCCCAAAATAATATATATTTTTCCAACCGAAGTCAACATATCTGATATCTCAGTTGTCGTTGCTCAATGGTATTTTCCCGTCCAGGTGCAAATATAAACTCTTTGCTCAAATCATATTGTAGAGTTTTTACAATCCTGTTGTTCTTAGTCACAAGCTTATCAAAAATTATTTGCTGTCTTTTCATAAATGAGTTTCCCTTTGCCTCTTGGATGGATCCAGCTCAGTACTGTTAGATGTTTGCAGTTGGAGTATTTCCCTTTTTCATACTAGAACTGCCACTGCTGAGAACCTTGATTATTATTATTTTTTCAGATGTCAAGCAGCTTTTCATAAAGTGACCTTTCACAAAAATGAATGCGACAAACCGGTTTATGTTTATGGTTTATGCTGTTTAATGTTGTGTGTACCTTATCTGTGTACCTTATCTGTGTTTGTTTAAAACGGGGCTCTCTTGGAAATGAGTCCTCGTGACTCAATGAGATTAACCTGTACAAATAAAGGTTGAATAAATGCAATGTCATGTTTTATACCCAAACATTTCTAGTGGGAATGAGACGGTTGATGACAAAACGGAAAAGAAGAAGAGGAAAAAGAAGGAAAAAGAGAAGAAGGAGCCCATGGTCGGTCCCCTCGGCGTGGTAAGCTGCAGTTTTAAGTGTGGGGGTGAAAAGTTGTTAATGTTGAAAGACTGTAAAGTGTGTTCTTACAATCATAACAGACGTGCGTGTGTGCGTACAGTATGAAGGGAAGTGGGGAGATCAGAGGGGGGTGCAGCACATCCTCCTGTTGTTTCGGCTGAGCTCCACCAGCCTCCCCGCTGTCGGGAGATAACAGCCTCTTACAGTTTCGTGTTCTCATTGTAACCAAACGTTTTTGAATTCAGTTCAGGTTTGCAGACAACTGTGACGTTTTGATGATGGTTGTGGGGACTGTGATGGCAGTGGCCAACGGCGTGGTGCTTCCTCTCATGTGCATCGTCTTTGGCAACATGACGGACAGTCTTATAAATAGCGCTGCGACCAGCAACAACCTGCCCGGCAGTGAGTTTTCTGATTACATATGTCTGAGCCAAAGTAAAAATGACCAAAATAAATGGCAATAATTTAAATTTTGTGTTTTTCAGATTTTTCAATTGCAAACATGACCAGCACTTTAGAAAAGGAAATGACTACGTAAGAGTTTACACGCTCGGAACAGCAGCTGTATTTATTGAGAAAACATTAAGTTATTCTGATGCATGCTCAATAATTCAGGTAGAAAAATCTAAAAAAGTTAAATCTGGTCCTCTGGACATTCAAAAAAAAAACCCAAAGCAAAACAAAAAAATTGTAGAAACGTTTAGTCTTTCATCCGAAAGACTTCCTCAGTCTGAGGTGCTGTATTCAGCTCAGTCTTATGGTACCTTCTCAGAGTGGATTAACCAATGATCCATTGTTAGGCTGATGGGCCTTCTTGACCATGTGAGCAGCTGGTTTTGGTTGTCAGCAGCAAACTGGTTGATCCACTCTGAGAAGGTGCTATTTATAAGACTGAGCTGAATACAGCTCCTCAGACTAAGTCTTTCTGATGAAAGACTAAACGTTTCTACACTTTTTTTGTTTTGCTTTGTTTTTTTTTTAATGTCCCGAGGACCAGATTTAATTTTTTTTTAGATATCAAGTTATTATTTTTCTTTTCAGTTTTTCCATCTATTACTCTATTATGGGAGCTGTTGTGCTGGTTGCGGCGTACATGCAGGTGTCCCTCTGGACGCTGGCAGCGGGACGGCAGGTGAAGCGCATCCGCGTCTTGTTTTTCCACAGAATCATGCAGCAAGACATCGGCTGGTTCGATGTCAACGAGACAGGAGAGCTCAACACTCGTCTCACAGAGTGGGTAGCAAACAAATTCTGCTCTATTTTATATTATTAGTTTTAATTTAAATGCTTGTATTAGAATACATGTTAGGACGTTAGAGTTGGCACAAATGTCCAGTGCTTTGAAGATCACTGGTGGATTATTGTGGTTTTGTGTTTGCATTTGCAGCGATGTCTACAAGATCCAAGAGGGCATTGGTGACAAGGTGGGGATGTTGATCCAAAGTTTCAGCTCCTTCATTGCGGCCTTTGTCATCGGCTTCACCCAAGGCTGGAAACTCACTCTTGTCATCCTGTCTGCGAGTCCTGCCCTGGGAATCTCAGCTGCACTTTTCAGTAAGGTAAAGTTTGATGCTTTCTTCATGGATCTTTTATTACATGAACCCATATACCCATGAGGGGTTCTCCTATATTTCTAACGGAGGTTAAATTTCAATGTTTGGGGGGGTGGGGGGGGGGAAGGATGTCACTGAAGGTTTAGTGTCAGCTACAGTCCCCTTTTTATGAACCTCCATTGTTGACCATCACATTTAAAAGCTAGCTGGCAGCTTGAATAGGCATAAACCTTCACTGATGGTGCATATCGCCCACCTCCTTGCAGGCCAAAGTTTTAAACAAAGGTCTAGCGCAATCAGCTGGTGCTCAGAGCATGTTTTGGGTATCACTCTCAGCTACTACACCCAATTTTAGCTCAATATCTTTAAAATTGAGTTGCCAACATTTGTTTGCTGTGGCAGGCATCGTGAATCAGACTGGCTTCAAACGTTTATCACTAAGATGTACATCAGATGATTACTCTCCTAGTTTAAATAAAATCCATCCAGTGGTTCATGAGATATTTTGCTAATAAACAAACGTGTACGTGCACACAGGCAATTACGTGACCACGACGTTGTGGCATCTTATAAAATAAAAACATGGTTGACATTTAGTTTAACTGAAGAAAACTACTGTACAAAGAAATTGTAAAAAATGTTTTTATGAGTGGAGTTTTGATTAAACTTACAGTAAAATGACTATCATGGCATATCACCCTAGGTTTTACACTTTAAATGTTGATGGCAATATTTCTAAACGTCATTCCGACTGGTTTCTGATGTTGGTTTTTAGTTTTTCTTAATTGGCATAGTGAAAACATTTGTGATGGTAGTGATTGGACATGGCACCAGTGACCCCCGTGACCCAAAAAGGAAGACGCGGGTAAAGAACAAGCTGAGCTAAGATGAGATATAAGATGAGCGATAAGATAAGATGGATGGATGAAGTTGCTTAGTGGGGAAAACAGTTTACTTGGGACTCCTCAGACTGATGAAGCCCTCTGGATAGAGGGCGAAACGGCTTTCCACAAAAAAAGAAACCGTCCAGATGCCCTGATAGACCATTATTGGATTTTGTACCTGGATGATTGAGCATGAACTTTGATGTCTTGAACCACTTTGGCTGTGGCTGCCTGCCTGGGAGGAGTCGACAGGGGACAGGACAGCCCCCAGAAACCATCTTATCACTATCAAACTGGTTGGACCACTAAAAGAGTGAACTGCTTAGTGGGGAAAACTGTTTACTTGGGACTCCTCAGACTGAGGAAGCCCTCCGGATAGAGGGTGAAACGTCTTTCCACAAACAAGAAGCTGTCCAGATGACCTGACTGACCATTATTGGATGGATGAAGTCTTGGTAGCTCAAGTTACAGATATCACTGACTTCAGCAATACATTTTTTTGAGAGAGTATTTTTCATCTTTACCAGACAAACTGAGAGAATATTACTCAGAAACTATTGATGGGATTAAACTGAAACAAATGTTCTTCGGCCATCACGCTCCGAGCCTGTCAGATGGATTTCCTGATAATGACCGTATTGTAATCCAGATGAAGTGAGGATGTAGTTGGTGTGCATGTGAGAAGGTTGCAAGTATTCTGCAGGTGTCTTTAGTTCTTGTTTTGTCCGTCTTCTCATTTGAACAGGTGCTGGCGACCTTCACTACCAAGGAGCAGAGTGCGTATGCCAAGGCCGGTGCCGTGGCAGAGGAAGTGTTGTCTGCTGTCAGGACTGTGTTCGCCTTCAGTGGCCAAAAGAAGGAAATCGAGAGGTGCGTATATGACACAGCCATTATTACTGTGAATTCGCTTTGGTCTGCTTCCAAGACTGTCTGGTTTAGACGTTTGAGAAGAGTTATTGTTTTGTTTTGTCTTCTTAACGAAGTTAAACCTCTCTGCAGTGCAGATGGATGTCAGGAGGAAAAAAATATAACTAAATAAAACCCATTTTGTGCAAATGTTATCCCTCTGTTTAAGAATTAGTTTCCATTGCGATCTAATTTCAGTTGTACATGTTTGTGATTATTTCCACGCTTGGTTGGGTTTGTGTTGCACAATAGATATCACAAGAACTTGGAGGATGCTAAAAACATGGGAGTAAAGAAGGCGATCTCTGCTAACATTGCCATGGGCTTTGCATATATGATGATCTACTTCTCCTACGCTTTGGCCTTCTGGTACGGCAGTACTCTCATCCTGAAAGACGAGTACACTATCGGAAAAGTAATCACTGTAAGTATGCACTTGGGTCTGAATTCTGGCTTTTTTTTTTTTTTAAGTTGAAACACCATTTGGTGAAGCTAATGATATTTTTGCCTGAAGGTGTTCTTTGTTGTGGTCATTGGCGTGTTTGCAATGGGGCAGACTTCTCCAAACATCCAGACGTTCGCCAGCGCCCGCGGAGCTGCATATAAAGTGTACAACATCATTGATCATGTAAGGAATGCAGCAAATATAACTCAAACCACCTTCCTTTCTCTGGACAGTTGTCAGTTTGTATTACCGATTGTGCTCTGCTGTAGTTTAACACTGCTGTCATACAGTCGGCAACTAAAATAACCTAATGTGACAGAATTTTCTCTAATTGGAGCTCCTGCTGCTTGAATTGTATTAATTTTTTTAAAGGAAAACAGCAGGTAATTTTGATCAATGCTGCACAGCATTTTCCAGGATTTAGTCCAAATCCTCTTAATGAAGGAATCCAACTATTTTCTGAGAATATAATTACAACGTCTGCAATGCCGTTGTTAAAATGAAATTATAATGGGTGTGAAGGTTGGATTGATTTTTATATAGATGTAGCAGAAGGAGGTTCAAACCTTTTGCCTTTGGCTCCTGTAGAAAAGTTGGTTTAGTTTAAAGTTCACATATTAGATGCTCACTATGTCGACACACAAGTTAGTTTTTAGAAACTGCACTTTACAAACTGCAGCTCAATAGTACATCAGACTGCACATGAACACAGCCTTCAGCAAACGTGGCGGTGTCAGATCTGGTACAGGATGGATGTTTCTATGTGGATAACTCTAAAAACGTGTATTGTGTATTATTATACCATCGTCTATAGTACTGTACATCTTGTTTCCTTTCTTGAGCACAAAGGTGCTTTACAGATGAGTGTTACTGTTTAGTCCTCAGTTAAACATCTCCATTGCCCAACCCTTTTGAGCTACAATGCAATATGGACAATAAAGTGTGTGTGTGTGTGTGTGTGTGTGTGTGTGTGTGTGTGTGTGTGTG